TTCTGTTAATTTGGCGCCACGTGGAGAACAACGTGAACCAAATGATCTCAAAGAATTACTGCAAGCATTAATTTGTACACTAACTTGTTTGAAGGTATAGTTTAGTATTTTCACTATTACGTATATATTATATTTATACATTTTTATCATATTCAAACAGGGTATGCATGAAAGTAAGCCCAAACCGATAATGCACAGAGACATTCGATGGCCGAATATTATTCGCCATTATGACGGATATCAAAGATTTATTTTAATCGATTTTGACTATGCTGACTTTTCCCCTTCTGATGAATCTTTATATGAATTTTCTGAAAGTGATCATGCTCCAGAACTGCTAATTAAAGGGCATAACTTTAAGGTTGATATATGGGGCGTTGGAAACTTAATTGGTTCATGTTATGTCACAGACATTCCTTCGGAACTTTCAAGCTTCAGCACAGATTTGTGTAAAAGTAATCCCAATGAACGACCAACTGCTTCAGTTGCTCTCGATCGGGCAAAAGACATGTTTAGAGGGGTGATTATTTATAACCTGATAATATATGTTTTTCGTTCTTTTTTTAGTAATACTTAACAAATTTTAAAAATTTAGTGGTTTACAAATGATAATTGGCTGGAAATGATCGAAACCGAATAATTAACTTAAATTTATAATGGTAGAATTACTGAACTTTATTATAAAAGCAGGGTTAGAAAATATTATTAGCATATAATCATTTTACTTTTCTATCGTATCAATAAAGCTTGCCCTGGTGACCGATTTCTTTGCATGTATAATCATGTTCACTTTTGCATGTGTATTTCGTGAATTTATTTTATTGTATTGTTATTGATGTACATTAATTCACATATGATCGAGAGAAAGGTAACATTTTTTTTGTTAGTATATGTTCATGGAAGATTCCAATTTTTTCTGCAATATAAAATACAATATTAGTTTCACTATACTATATCATGAAATTTAATAAAGCATATTCTGATCTGATTCAACAATTACCTCCATCACTGGTACAGAAAGCTTGGAATTATTTAGTCTCTCGCAAGTGGAATCCAATGACAGAAAAAGAAGCCAGCACAGTAAATCCATTGGTTAAATTCTTTTTAAGACATGAGATAAATAGATATCAAAAAAGTTAAAATATCATCATTGAAATCTATTATCACTTGAAAATTTATTATATAATATAAATATGATTTATCAAGAATTTCAAATCCAAGATATCATTTTACTTTGTATATATGATCAGAAATATAAGTATCTTTGCTTTACAAATAAGAAAAATTAATCACCAGATTAAGAAAGAGTTTGATATTTTATTTCAGTAATTACTAGAATATAATAATAAAACTTGATAAATTTATGTGAGAAATTACTATAAAATATAAGAAGCAGGTCAAAGCCAATAAAAAATTATGATATGAATAAAGATGAGTAACTTAATTATTTATTTAAATTATAATAATTGTGATTTTTGTTAGTAGTTGTAACATATGTATCACAATTAGCTGCAATTATATTATTAGTTTTAGCCAATCAAATTTTAGATATTATATTATTATATAATTTTAAATAAATAATTTTAATTTTAAATATCTTGATTAATTTATA